AGTATTACAGAATCTAGTTGTTCTGCTTTGGCTACCACGAAACTACCCTGTACTCGAGAAAATGGTGCTAGAATTAGAATATCAGTCCCAACTCGCAGATACTGGAGCCTATCAGTAAGCAAAGAAAGAATTCAGTTGCAGAAAGGAGTAGTAACGCCTAAAAGGCCCAGTTTGTCTCCTAAATGCTGAGGAAGGATCGTATTAAGTGCCAGACTAAAGTCGACAAACAGCATTCACATATGAGTATTTCTTTCCTCTGCGTGCGCCAGAGGTGGTATTCAGCTGGTTTGGATTGGTTCTGGCGTATCGGTAGTGGAAATTTTGAGTAGTTCGGAGAACTAGCAAATACCACCTCTGGATGGCCCCGCCCCCTGCCCCGCCCTTTCCCGTCATATATTCCCTTGTTTTTTAGCTCAGCTGATTTGCGTGGCAGAGTGGGTTGCCGCGCCTCAGCTGAGCTAAAAAACAGCTCACCTCACTAGCGCTGACACAGAGGGTGGTCTTTGAGCGCTGCGCATGCAAAGCGCTCTCTCATAGAACCGGTAGGAAAAAATATGGAATTCCCACCACTGAAGTGCGCCAAGCTCCAATGGAGAACAGGGGAAATAACCCCCTCAGTGGAACCATTTGGACAGTAAGCAAACTGAAGCGAGTCAAACACTGGAGGAAGGCCAGATACAATAAAGTCCTTTATCAGCCTGTCAGAACATTTCATAATGGTGGACGTAAGTTCACCTGGAGGATAATCATTAAGACCCGTGATTGAAGGATGTTTTGGGGGGTGCTGGCAAAGTAATGGCAGTTTTAAGTGTCCTGTTAGTATTGCAAGGTACTAATATTATCAATGTTTTGATTTAGAAGAGGAGAGAAGAAGAATTGCACAAACTTCTTGAAGAAAGTAAGTATCGTCTTCAATTATCATGGTTCTTGTGTTTGTAAAATCCACCATTGCAAAGATCTTGCTTCCTTCTACACCCACTGCCACGACCAGCATTTCTTATGTGTGAACTGCTTTTTTTTATAGCAGCAATATATCTCTTTTGTGACTTAGTTCTCTTTGTGGTTTAGTCAGTGTATATAAGTCAGTGTGGTCTATAGCTGCCTATTTTTATGTTTGGCAATTTTTAAAAAGTGCAGCATCTCACCGGCTGAAGGTTGACTCCGCCTTCCATCCTTCCGAGGTCGGGTAAAATGAGGACCTGGATTGTTGGGGGCAAGAGGCTGACTCTGTAAAATGCTTAGAGAGGCCTGCAAAGCACTACAAAGCAGTGTGTAAGTCAAAGGGCTATTGCTATCTAATGACCACAGACTACAAGTGAGTAAGCAGTAGGTTTCACAACTGAGATACACTTGTGAGAAACATTGTATTGTGATTGTTTATTCAGCACCAGAATAGGTTTGTGCTTTTAATATAATTTATTGCTTGTTTATTAAGGTTTTAACCTACCTTCATCACTTATAAATAACTTAAGGCAGAAAAGATGCCTAGTACTCCTTCCTTCTCCTGTTTTCCCCACAACAACAACCCCGTGAGGTGAGCTGGGCTGAGCGAGAGAGACTGATTCAAAGTCATCCAGCTAGCTTTCATGCCCAAAGCGGGATTACAACTCAGCGTCTCCTGGTGATTGGCCCACCCAGTCAGCTTTCATAGCTAAGGTGGGACCAGAACTCACAGCCTTCTGGTTTCTAATCTGGTACCTTCACCACTAGATCAAACCTGGACAAGTAGAAAAGACGGCTGTGGACATGTTGTTTTTTACCCTCATCAGTGGAGGTACACCTAAATAGACCTAGGCAAACAATCAGAGGTGCTATTCAACTGGTTCGGACCAGTTTTGGCGTACCGTAGCGGAAATTTTGAGTAGTTCAGAGAACTGGCAAATACCACCTCTGACTGGCCCTGCCCACCTGCCCCCACCCTATCCTGTCCTATATTCCCTTGTTTTTTAGCTCAGCTTATTCACACGGCAGAGCGGATTGCTGCACCTCAGCTGAACTAAAAAACATCTCCCTTCACCAGTGTTAACAGAGGATGTTTTTTGATTGTTGCACGCATGAAACACGCTCTCATAAAACCGATAGGGGAAAAAAATGGAATCACACCACTGCAAACAACGTATAAATGAAAGTAACTATTTTAGTAAAGAATACTAAAATAGAATTGATACACACGATGTATTGGTGTGTGTGTAATACATTTATTTTCCTGTCCATCTTCAAAGGGGCCAAAGTTTGTTTCTGGCTCTGCAATTTGTAATCTTCAGTTAAACTTTAACTACATAAGAAAACCATTGCATTCGGGTCCCTCTCCTTATTTTCTTTAAGATCGTCTCTTTTTTTCTTTTTAAATCTAAATAAAATGCCATTTCATCTCCCATTTTTATTTGTCCTGAAGAACCCACGCTGTTTGAGCAGCTGCACCCAGGCAAAGTGGACGACGTGCTGTCCCTGTACGCTGCTGATTTTCAAGAGCAGGAAAGTTTATCTACAGCTGGGTCGGCTGAAAGCTCGGCAGCTTCCGATGTTTTCCCTTACATGGATCATTGGAACGTCCACACTCAGAGAGTCTCACTTCGGGAGATCATGTCCGAAGAAATTGCACTGCAAGAAAAACTAACAGGGGTAGGCTATTTGCTACAGCTTCGGCTGGGTCTATTTCCTGTACATCTCATCCTGAGAGCTGGGTTGTCATAGTGGTCCCAACAACCCCAGCTGCCAATCTTCCACTGCTTTGCAGCATTGTGTTTTCTGTTCTGGTCCCCAGTAGGTTCCGCAAATCCCGCCTTCCAACTCCATAAGCCCTAGAACAAGTTCGGCAATCTTAAACACTCAAATGAGCCAGAAAAGTCCTAACTGGAAGCTCCCCCCCCCCCCCCCCCCCCTTCAATTCTGGAGCTGACCGGAGGTCCGATTCCCCCATCATAGAGTCTCCTCCTAGCATGGCGTCCTTTTTCCTCTACCTGTCCTCACCGAAAGCCCTATCAATTGTGGAGCCAACCAGAAAACCCTCTCCTTGCCATAGAGTCTCCTTCTGGCGCTGCTTCCCCCCCTCCCAAACCAGAAGCTCCCCTGAAAATTGTGGTGCTGACCAGCAATAGGGAGCCGCAGCAGAAGGATGAAAGAGCCACATGTGGCTCCAGAGCCATGGGTTGCTGACTCCTGCCCTAGAAGGACAAGTAACTACAAAAGGACACAGATGGTCAAATGTGGATTGTCATACAAATCTGTCCTTTCTGGATGTGCGTTGCGAAATCAGATGCACGTATGTTCCATCCTGACAGCACAATGCACATTTCATCATTCGAACAAAATCCTGGATTTGTTAAAGTGTATTGCCAAATAGATCCCACTCCCCCCCCCCAAGAATTCACAGTGGAAGTCATAACACTCCCCCTCTGTTTCCTCAAAACAACCCCATAGGGTTGGGTGGTTGGCCAAAGAACTGCATGGCATAACTGCATAGACTCTGAGAGTCCCTGTAGGCTCAAGAGTATTTTGAACCCAGGTCCCTAAAGCGCTAGGGCAGCACCTTAAATATTATATCATTCTACAGAGCAGTAGAACTGTTGTATATACCCTTGGATAAGCCAAGAATTTTAGATGCCAAAATGCCCTCAGAAGATCGGGTTTACCTATGTGTGGCTGGGCATTATATGTTGTAATTGTACAGTAATGGGTAGTCCTTAATTTACACCAAGTTCATTTAGTGATCATTCAAAGTTATAATGGCACTGAAAAAAGTGACAGGATTATTTTTCACACAACTGTTGTAGCATCCATATGATCAAAATTCAGACACTGGGCAAATGATTCATATTTACGATGGTTGCAGTATCACCTTTTGCGACTTTCTAACAAGCAAAGTCAAGGGGAAGCCAGAATCACTTAACAACCGTGTTACTATCTTAATGACTGCAGTGATTCACTTAACAACTGTGGCAAGAAAGGTCGTAAAATGGGGTAAAATAACTTCCGCTTTCTTAGCAGCGGAAATGTTGGGCTCAATTGTAGTCATAACCCAAGGACTACTTGCATACTTAAGGATAAGCCAAGAATTTTAGGTACCAAAATGCAATCAAAAATCGGGTTCACCTTATCTGTGGCTGGGCTTATGCCCCAATATATATGATGATATTTTTTAAAAGTTACAGTACCCCTGTTTCCCATATGTATTTGTGGATAAGCCAACACTCAAATTTTTAATCCAAAATACCATGAAAGATGCATGGCAGTTTACCCATGGGTGGTGCAATGTTCATGATACTTTGTTTAAAAGTTTGAGGATTGGCTCACCTGCAGATATATGCAAGTAGAGATGGCAATAACTAATGGAAAAATATGAAAAGTTGTGCCATGGTTTATGATTTGCACCGTATCATTGTAGAAATACTTTAGAGGTATAATTTTTTTTCTCTCTTTTTTTTTGTTGGGATAGAAACCTTTTCCTTGGATTGCTAAAAAAGACTGTGCTGCTAAACTGAAGGAAAAACAACTTTTGGAGTTATTCCCAACCATTAACGCAAACTTTTTGATGGACATCTTCAAGGACTACAAGTGGGTCTTCCTTTCATAATACGATGCGCCATTGGTTACGTGAAAGTATTCTGCCTGAAGTGACTCCTTGTGTTGTGTTGTTGTGTTTAATTTGTCAGTTATTCCTTGGAACAAACTGTCCAGTTTCTCAATAGCGTTCTAGAGGCAGATCCCATAAAAACAGTGATAGCGAAAGAGCCTGCTCAGAATGCCAGACGTTCTCCTAGCAACACTTCCAAGACCCGGGATAAAAAGGTAAAGGCTGTTTCGCATGCATGTTGCAAATCTGATTTCTGAAAAGGACTTTTACAAACACATAAGTTAAAGGGGGCTGGGGCTTGATGCTGTCTGAGCTTGGATGTTTTCTTGCAGAGGTTTCATTAGGCAAGTAGGGGAACAAGTTCAAAAGAGACCGCCAGAAAGATCACAAAACCTCCTAACCAGCAATCAACAGCCAGATAAGCAGATTAACATCAAGTGGTAAACAAGTACCCCATTCAAGGAATTACAAACTGAATAAACAATACCCTAATCAAGAACACTTCCGCAACATTGACAGGGCAAGCCGCTTGTATAGAAACAGAGCAAAACCCGCTCGCTTCCAGAATTGATGACATAACTTAATTGGGTCATGAAATGTCCACGAGAAAACCACCCATCTCAGAGGGCACCAAGGATTCCATAGCCTTTCTCTTCCACCACCACCTCTATAAATCCCATTCCCTTCTAACACAAATGATGTTCCCTAGTTGGGTCATGAAACTTCCCCAAGAAAACTCAGCTTGAAGGACCCCACGGGGTCTTCTCCTTCCTCTTTCTCTTCTTCTTCCTCCTTTCTGTGATGACCCGAGGCATGGCACAAAGGCAACCCAATCAGATAATCAGGAAGAATCCCTTTATTATCTTCAACTTTGCCCTCAATGTCCAGGTTACATTCTGGCTGGAGAAAAACTCTCCCAGGAACAGCCTTTGACTGCAGAGAATCAGGTCCAAAACATGGTCAACAAAAACTGTAACTTTAAGTCCAATCAAGCCAAACTGAGGTAATTAATCTGGCAGGGCAGGAGCAAGAATTCCATATGTGAAGGCACGGCAAAACTCACATGGTTGGAAAGACAACAAGATGCAAAGACAACATAGGATAAAGTCATGTTTGCTCCCAGCAGCTACTGCAGTCAGCATTCAGTTCTTTTAAACTTTCATTCCCAGGTGTGGCTAATAAAGGTAATCAGGGCCCTTTCCTCCCCTGTAAGCCACCCAACCCACTTTGCTCCCTTCTCCATTCCTCCCTACGTGCCCTGGGATGAAGAGGAGGTGGGCCTGAGTCTTTCTCTGAACTCCCTCTCCTTTGTTCTATCTCTCCCCTGCTCTGCCCAGCCGGACTTTGCCCTTCCACAGCCTCCTCCACAACCAATGGAGCCATACTTTCACTCCCTGTCAGCTGTTTGTCTTCCTCCTCGGATTCAGACTCTGACGGGCATGACACTTTCCTTTTCCCCCTTCTCCACTCCGCAAACCCTTTCTAGCATTGATGATGTTACCTAGTTGGGTCATGAGATGTCTGCAAGAAAACCACCAGCTCAGAGAAGATCAAAGACCCCCCACAGTTCCACCCTGAGCTACAAATAGATTGGATCCTGCAACATTATCCTGGGACGCGTACTCTTGTCTTCATTTGTACAAATATATTTGTACAAATATACGTTTCTATTGGCACTAAGTGAAGCTCACTTCCCACAGTATGGCCTTTTTCTCGGTTTTTCCTTGAGCTAAGCCTTGCACTGTGTCTATAAAGACCTCACTGTTCAGTCCCAGGCTAAGAGGACTAAAGAGCTGGAAGACATTCTGAGCGAGAAGGGATTCCAAGACACGCAGTATCCAGGCTACGAGGACTTCAGGGCCGAGGCCTTTCTTCACCAACAGCAAAGGCAAGAATGCCTAAGAAAAGCAGGAGAAGCGTATCGCATGGGGATGAAGCCAGTCGCGGCATTCTATGTGCAACAGGTAACTTTGTTTTTTGCCAGTGACAAAGCAGCATTTCACCACAAAGACACCCATTCTGGAAAGCCACAAACCGCATGGGAATGTTAGGAAGGAGGACGTGGTTATTCAAATGATGCGGCTGTCAAAACTTGAGTTTTAAAATGGAGATTGTCCTCCTCCCTTCACCTCCCATGATTTCATAGGTCACTTTTTTCAGTCACTAAAAGAATGGATGTAAGTCAGCAACTACCTGTATACTGATTCACTTAAGAAATGTGGTGAGAAAAATCACAAAATGAGACCAAGTTCACTTAACAAATTTCTCCCTTAGCAACCGAAATGTAGGGCCCAATTGGGGGGTTGTAAGTTGAGAACTACCTGCATTCATGATCAGTTGCTTTTTGTAGTCCGTCACAGATAATGCCCTGTAATGTTTTTAATTCCTTCTGTTCCTGTTTCATACCTATGTTCACTTGAACTGCAAATACCTCAGGGGTGGGATCCTACTGGCATAACAACCGATTCGGGGAGTGGTGGAGTGCGCGCATGTGCATCACCGGCTCCGGCAAGCATTTATCTTCTCCAGCTGACAAGCGGCACTCAGCTGTGCTGCGCAAAGCAGCGGAGGAGGTAACAGCATAGAATAAAGGACTGCCTAGAGCCCGGGTGGGCCAAACGGACGACCAGATAGTTGTCACAGTGAACTGATCCAGTGTCAGCTGCTCTTCGGAGCTACTGGTTCTGTAGAACCAGGCCGAACCAGTAGCATCCCACCCCTGAGCTACCTGAAACAGATGTAACTGACCAGTGCGGTCAAAAGAGTCCGCTCATTGTTGTGAGACCCGGAGAAGGGTCCAGCTCTTTGCTTGGGGGGGGGGGGGGGGGGAACGATGCTCCCCATAACCGGTACCGCACTTAAGTTGGCTGTTGTGTGTGTGTGTGTGTTTGACTGAAGGGTCAGCTTCATGAGCAGAAGATGAAAGAAGCCAACCAAGATGCGGCTCAGCAAATCTTTGAGAAAGTCAACGCTGCCAAGCTGCCCATCAACTTTTTGGATCTGCATGGTCTTCATGTGGATGAAGCTTTGGCTCACCTCTCTAGAGTCCTGCAGGAGAAAACCAAAGGTAAGAGCAGGGGTGGGATTCTACCGGTTCGGACCAGTTCTATAGAACCAGTTGTTATGATACTGTGCAATTCGGAGAACCAGCAAATCGTGCCCCTGGCTGGCCCCACCCCTCTCAACCCTCCCCTCCCCACCCAGCCAGTCCTTATCGCACTCGCACAACATTGCATGCAAGCCCGACTTGCTGGCTGCGTTCTTTCCCACCAGTCACTCCTTAAGGTATTTCTTTTTTTTCCAATTCTGGGAGTTGAAGTCCACAAGTCTTAAAATTTGCCAAGTTTGGAGACCACTGCCATGGGGGGGGGGGGCACACGCGGCCCATTTTAGCCACCTGAGGAACCGCGGGCTGGTCCTTTGATATTTCCAACCCAGCCCCATGGCCCGGATTTAAGTGCCCTGCGGGCAGGTTCTGGCCCTCAGGCTTGAGTTTGACCCTGCTGACTTACAAGGTCCCTTCCAACTCTTGTATAATCTGTAAGTTTAAAATGCCGAATGTCTGAAGAGAGAACATCTAGCATTCTTGCGAAACAGAACACAGCCTGGCAGGCGGCATACCGTACCTCTACGTGATCACTGGAAGGGGAAACCATAGCCAGGGAGGAGTTGCTCGGATCAAGCCAGCAGTTACGAAATACCTCACCAGCCACAAATTCAGGTGAGTTCTCCACATCTTGTAATCAAGCATTTTGCAGTTCTACATTTTTAACCGCTTCAGGACTGGCACTCTCGTTTTCTACAAAGGCTAAATGGATCAGTCTGGTCGTGATTCTCTACTACAGGCAGTTCTCGACTTACAACCCCAATTGAGCCCCAGCTTTCTTGTTCGCTAAGCGAGGCTGTTGTCAAAATGAGTTTTGCCCCATTTTACAGCCTTTCCTTGGCCACAATTGTTAAGTGAATCCCTGCGGTTGTGAAGATGAATCGGGCTTCCCCATTGACTTTGCTTGTCAGAAGATCGCAAAAGGGGATCACGTGACCCTGGGACGTGTTCATTTAGTGACCGGGTCAAGTACAACATCACTGAAAAGCAACTGATGACCCTTTTTCCGCACTTAACAACTTTTTATAGCATCCCCATAGTCAGAGGTGATTTACATTTGTATGTGTGATGACCCGGAGTGTAACACAAATGTAACAAAATCCAAAATGTAAATAAATATCCTTTAATGCCTCCAACTTGGCCCCACTGTTCAATAATTCTCAGTTGGAGATAAAATGTACTCAAAAATAGTCTTCAAAAGAAAGCAATACAGTCCGGATTTAATGAGCACATAGAGGTGAAATAAAAAACCAAACAAACTACAATGACGAAATTTCCACAACAGAACAGGAGAAGTAATTACCAAATTCAGGGAGATAATAAGGCACAGTCTAATTTCTGAATTGGACGCCAACCAAGATAACTTCAGACCAAAATAAAACACGCTTTGCTTCTGGCAATGCTGTGTTGTAACCATCTCTCTTGTATACTATTCTCCCCAGTTGCAACCAATGAGGGGGATCATGGCCGCTTCTTCTCTCGTAAGCCAAGTTGTTTCTTTCTCCGTTCCTCTCTGCGTGCCCTAGGATGAAGAGGGGATGGGCCTGGTTTTTCCTCTGATTGCCCTGCCGGCCTCTGTCCCTCCCCAGCCTCCTCCACAACTTCCGGAGCCAGACCTCCACTCCCTGTCAGCTGTTCCTCCTCTCCCTCAGAGTCTGACTCTAACAAGGGCATGACACTATGCTTGCAAACTGGGTCCTATTTAGTCTCCCTGGGGGTCATGTGATCCCCTTTTGCAACCTTCCAGCCAGCAAAGTCGTTGGAGATGCCAGATTCGCTTAACAACTGCGTTACTAATTTAGCAACTGCAGCGATTCGCTTAACAATGAAGTGGCAAGGAAAGTTGTAAAATGGGGCAAAACTGACTTAACCAATGTCTCACTTAGCAAAAGAAATGTTGGGCTCCATTGTGGTCATAAGTCGAGAACTGCCTTTATCAATATTTGGATCATACTGTCAAATTTTGATCACGTTCTCAAAGATCCATCTCATCCTGGGCACCCTTTTTTTTTTTTTTTTTTTGAACTATTACCATCTGGTAGACAGTACAGGAGAATAATAAAAACAAGGACAAATAGGCTGAAAACAGCTTCTATCCCAGAGCAGTAGCTCTGTTGAATTCTGCTGTAAAGTGCAATATTAATGCAATATCAGGGGTTATCAATTCAATTGAATAGAATGTGAAGGATGTGTGTTTGTGTTTATTTTCATAGTCATAAATTGTACACTGAAGATGGCATTTAATTTCATTGTACGAGGTGCAATGACAATAAACTAAACTTTTCCTGTTGCAAGTAAGTGTTTATGGCAACCTTTTCGCGATCTGGACTCTCTCTGCACAAGAGCCGTTGCACCTATGATACTTTTTAAAATGCCAACTGTATCCATGGTCACAAAAAAAAAACACCCCACAACCGAAATAATCAAAGTTCATCCGAAGATTATGTTTCTGCCTGCACAGCTTCTCCCTCAGGGAAGCCGGAGAAGTTTTGTTACAACATCGTAATTGAAACAGAAGGAATAATAGCTTTGTTCCTTCTATTCCCTGTTGTTTGAATTTATTCAGAACAGTATTTAAGTTCAATCTCTTCCTCTTCTGCAGGTTCACAGAAATAAAGTCGGGCTGCTTTAAAATCTTGTTGGAATAGACAGGAAGTCACCAAGAATGATCGGAAAAACTGAGGTTACCAAAGCAGAAACAACTTCGCGTTTTAATGGGATAAAAATGTGTGACTTGTCAAAAACAAGGTTTCACTGGAAAGGGCTTAACCGTCAGCAGGTGTTTGTGTCAGTGTGTTTTTCTCTACCAAATCTTTGTGTGTGTGTGTGTGTGTTTGAATGAGGAGTATTTTTATAAGTCTTCTGCTTATCAAGAAATGCACCCAGGAATTACCTTGAGAACAAAAAATAACATTCTCAATGGAAAGCAAAGGTTCCAATCGGAAATGCTCTGCCCTTTTCATAAATATCTGGAATATAGTGCTTTTTTTAATGGTCTCTATTCCATTTTAAAACAATTCTTGAAATTATGGCCGAGCTTACTTTGGATGCTTCAAAGAATTCTATCATCTTTCAGGTGATAAGAGTTAACGATTATTTGCCTCCTGTGTGTTTTTCACAAGAATCCTTGGCTCACTTCCGAAAGGAGGAAAAAATGGGTTGCATTTATTTTCAGGCAAAAAAGAAAAGAAAAAGAAAGGTAGTAGCTTGTATCTCAGCTTTTCAGATCTTTTCTCTTCTTTCCTTTTAACTCTCTAATGCATTGACAGGCTGCCGGATAGGACAGTAAAAATGTGATGAGGAATAACAGGGAGGGTCTATTATTCACTTAGAGCTTTGGCCTTGACTGCTTATTTGGATAAGTGTCATTTGCTAGAATCAGGGGCCTTTTCAAAAGCCCCTGTTATTGCAAGGATAATTCTCTACTTGGGAGCTTTTGATGCTCCCACAGAACTCAATATGAGCAGGCTGACCCTATCAATATTAAGATCTGCCACAAGTGCAATAAGCTTTGAAAATGAATACAGAAGTGTACATTCAGGTATATCTTTGCATTTTGGCTTCTAGAGATGTGAGCAAAACTCCAGCCTACAATGGTTATTGCCAATACTTCTGGAAAAGAAATATGAAGGAACCCCACCTGTCCTAACGCCATAAAAATGACGCATGTTCCTTTTAAAGAAAACACCAGCATCCGTTTTATGACAGCATATAAAAAATATGATCAGCTCTGAGCACATACTCATGTCATTAAGTAGAACACAAGTAGAAGACTCCTATGGCAGCTATTCAAATTATTGTGCATCGACTGATATTTTCATTTTCATGTTGTCATTTTGCCATGAATTTACAATGGTTTTGTCAAACTAGCATCTGGGAAGCCAAAGCATTATAGTGCATCCATGCAAGTCTCGGCGGTATCTTTGTGACCTGCTTTTCAAAATCTTTTCTTAAGACATAATATAATTGTACATTTGATATACTATTCTTGTTGTTGTTTTTTTAAAAAAAGATGAGATTGCTGAAGGGAATATGTGACGGTTTATGGTATTTTTAAAAACACATTTCTGAATTGGTTACCAGAGCTGAACGTCTGCCATGGTATTCAGTTCCTCTCCACTGAACCAGTTAAGACAAATGGAAATATTGTAAAGTCATGTATTGCTTTCTTTAGAAAAACTGAATGTACAATTTTACATTTCTCCTTTCAAAATAGAGCAGCAATTTACTTTCAGATATTTTTTTCTTTCCACTACGCTTTTCTTTTTAAAATGCAGATATTATGTAAGCCCGCATTATGAATTTCAGACATTTTTCAGATCCTTTAAAACGGCATTTCAGTAAAATCTGGAACTAAGAACGAGGAGGGAATAAACTGCAAGCGTGCCCAATAAAAAACTACTCCGATCAGTATTATCCCATCGAACTCATATTTGAAATAGATTATTTTAAAACTGCCCTGATCTTTCGAAAGACAGGACTATGCATCTGGGTCTGTCTTACCGTTGTTTGTGCAAGGATCATAAGATAAAGTAACTTGAATATGATATAGCCAAGGGCATCTTGTCAATGATTTTGTTTTGTTTCTCTCCTCCCCCCCCCCCCCATTTGCTCTGATAAGAGTTTCAGGGCACGTAGATGTAACTCTGTCAAAGGTGGGATTTCTCCCCCGATCCCATTCTGCCTTGCCTTAATCCACAGTGGGAAGCTAGAAAGCTCTTCTACTTTTGTAATGTAGACTTCACAAGTAGCCATGGCCTGCAAGGCTCATGCATCCTGTTGCTGGCAAGGGTGGCTCCCCAGGAAGAAAGAAAAGGGAAGGAGGTGTATGAGTAACCACACCTGGGACTTATTTTCCCCATAGGTTGTTCCTTCCCTTCTGACCATAACGATCCCAGATGATTCTCCAAAGTGATCAGAGTCCTTGTTGGGACGTTGTTAGCACTGGAGGCCTAGATAGGTCTTTCGTAGTGACTTTGAATTATTTCGCTCAAGATGCTTATAGGGAAGGTGGACTCTTTAGGATTGCCTCATGACCTGGATCGGATTAAGAACCGTTGGAGGAATGAGATGTTTGTCAGTCAGATTCAATAGGGCTCCATATTTGTCCCCATGATTTAATCTCTTATTCCACAGAGAGACGATTTAATCTCTCTTTCCACAACCCAAGAGCATTGGACAAATTCTAAATTCATCCTTCCAGAGAGTATTGTGTTTTTATTGTGTGTTTTTTCCTTCGTTGCCATTTGCTTGCTTCCATTACTGTAGTTTGGGGGGGGGGGGGGGGGGGGGGAGTCTGTCCTCCCAGAGCTAAATCTTAAAAAAGATTGTGTAACCTTTCTCGTCTCATGTAGCAGAGGACAATGTCAGAACGTTCTCCACCCATTCTCAATCAGAAGAAAACTCCCAATTTCTTTTTGTTTTATGATTATATGGAATTATATATGGGGGAGGGAGAACAAGAGACAAATAATTGTACAGATCAGCTATTTTCTAGGTTTAAAAACCAGGATAACTGGTTGTAGTAAGAGCATATTAAGTGGGGGGGGAATGTCTGATTAAGATAATTATTGCTTCAGCTCTACCCTCATTCATTGAGAAATGTGACACTTATTTGTAAATCTTTGTTATGCATGTGTTCAACAAAACATATTTAGGTATCTGCTTACTTCATTAATGTAATTGTTGAAACAATGCCTCTACAATAATCAGGACTTACACATTTCTAATTAAAAACTACATTTTGTAGTCTGAATAACATTGATTGCAACAACACAACATGCCCAGAAGTAACATTTGTAATGGAAAACTAAAAATGGGGAAAATTCTATCTTTTAATATGCCAAAATGCATAGCAGAATGATTTTTTTGGGGGGAGATTGAGGGATTTAAATCATTTATAATGATTTATATTTATAATGCCCTTTCATGCAAATCCTTCTATAGGAGCTAGCCAAGATGTTTCTATATTGTTCAAGTAGTCTGCAAAAAGGTTAGAAGATGATTGCACAAATAAAACTTGAGATTTTAAAACTTGAGAAAAATGTTTGCTATAGTCATTGAAATCTGCAAAGATATTAAGGGAAGTCTACTCTTAAATAAATTGCCAACATTTCCATAATTATATTAATACTTTACTGGGCTTCAGTAAAAGCAGCATTAAAATTGCAATACTTTTAAGATTTTCCTTAGTCTTAAATTGAGGGGGGAAATAACATTTCCTGTACTCGGTTTTTATTATCAAACTTTTTTAGATTAACCTACAAAAACTTTTAACAAGGTAGGGATTTTGATTAGGATGCAAGATTTGCGGGAAAACGTTTCTCAGGGTAGCAGTTTCTGTGAGAAGTGCCTAAGGAAAATACAGCCTTCCCAGTCCCCCCCCCCTTTTTTTTCCAACCAATATCATTGTGAATAAATATTATTAGCATGAAATGTGTGCTCTTAAATTTCACAAATGTTTGTTAATTGAGAAGAATGTGAATGAGAAGAACGTTAATTGTTATTGAGAAGAATTTACATTATGATACTAAATAAAAACTACAATGTGAAATGAAATATACACATTCATTTACATCATACAGCTTTTTCCATGGATTTGTATGAATAAGTAACCACATACCTACCGGTAGCTTCAATAATACTTGCAATCCCAACAACTTTTGATATGACTGCCGGTTTTGGAAAAACAGAGGTATATGATTACCTACATCACATATTAATATTTATTCATGTGAATCTAAATTTCAAGTGAATGTTCAAAGGGATGAAAATATTACCAATCCTCTCAAGAAAGAACGTTGGAGTCTCAAGTAACTAACAGGAAACTATTTTGCATTAATGGTGCAGAAAGTACATTCGTAAAACATCCAGTATTGCAGTACTCACCGTCATATTATGGGATATATATGTGTATGTGTATATAAGTGAATTCCTCGTGTTTTTGTTAAGCATACAAATCTAATTCCTTATTTTTTTTTTATATTGCTTGGTTGTTTGCACATGGGTTTTTTTTAATAGAGTTTTGAATAAATACCTTAAAAAAAGAAATTACAGGTCATTTATTTAAACATTTTTCATTTCTCAACCTTCCTTTTAAATGGAACAAAAGTCATATTTGCATTAGAGGAGTAAGCTTTCTATACGTAAAGAAAAATAAGATTGTGCAGAAATTAGTGCAGTTGTAACTTTGGCTGGCCTCTAAACCAGTGGTTGCAAGTCAAGGGCTTGCCTGTATAACAGTCCTTTTAATAGTTCTTTTGCGCCTTAGGGAATTCTTGCACGCCTTGGGAAGAGTGCCAGGCGCCCAGCTTGAGGGGCAGGGGGGGGGCATTAGGGCTGAAGTTGAGGCCAGGCATAGTTTGTAGAATGGCCCCAAGTGCCACTGATCAGGGTGGTCTACATGTTGGGGGGAGGGGGCCGAGTATTGTTTGTGTGTGTGTGAGAGAGAGAGAGCAGCAGCAGAGTCAAACGGGTATTTTCCAAATTGTTGACACACGCAGCCCAAAAGGTTCCCCACCATTGATCTAATGCACAGTAAAACCCCTGCCAGAATGGGATTACAGCTAATTCTCCCACTTACAACAGTTCGTTTAGTGACCGTTGGAAGTGATGGCATGGGGGGGGGAAGTGACTTGTGATCGTTTTTCACACTTAGGAGCGCTGCGGTATCCTCGCAGTCACATGATCGCATCCCAGTGTGTGTGTGTGTGTGTGTGTGTCGCGCAATCCCCTTTTGTGACCTGATAAGCAAAGTCTACAGGGAAAGGCAGTTGGCTAACTTAACAGCTGCAGCGACAAAAAAGGTTGTAACATGGGGCAAAAACTCACTTTGCAAATGTCTCACTTAGCAACAGACATCTGGGGCTCAGTTGTGGTTGCAAGTCGAGGACTACCTGTGTTTTGATTATACTGTACACCCGTAGATGGCAAAGCAACCAGTCAAGTATATGGTATGATGGGCAAAGCAACCAGTCAAGTCCTCCATTTTGGCTGCTCTTTCTCTTCATATCATCACCAGCTGGGGAAATAATTAAAAAAAAAACACAGTAAAGTACTGACAACGTGGGCTGAGCTTCTTGCAGGGTTTCCTGAGCCACTTCCATAATTTCACTTGCAGCCTTTGCTACAAAACGACAAAGGCAACAGAAAAACTACAAGACAACGTCAGAGGGGACAATACAAGAAGCAGAAATTGCAACCTCTGGGTGACACAAATTCACCCCTTCCTGAAAAACAGCCGTCCGTTACCTCAAACTCAGAAATCCAGGTAACCCTTGACTTACGACAGTTCTTCAGTGACCATTCAAAGTTTACAACGGCGCTGCAAAAAAGGACTGGTGAGCCTGTTTTAAAGTTACAACCTTTGCAGGATTCGTACGTATGATTGTTGCTGTGTCTCTAGGTCACATGATCCCTTTTTGCGACCTTCTGGCCAGTAAAATCAATGGGGTTCAGGCAGATTCATTTAACCCTGGTGTTAGTAACTTATCAGCTGCAGTGATTCACTTAACAACTGCAGCAAGAAAGGTCGTAAAATGGGGGTGGGGGGGAAAACTCACTTAATAAATGTCCTTGTCAACTCATAAAATATGTCTGGTCTTTTTAGAGTTGCCAACAGAAAGGGAAGGGGGACCAGAGGGCAACTTGCATTCCATAAATGTTTTCAAAGATAGTAACTAGGTGAGCGAAGTTTCTGCCGTGCAAAATTCTAACTGGAGAGCATGATTGATGACTCTGGGCTATGGATGATATGAATTACGATACAGATAACATAATCAGAGTTGGAAGGGACCTTATAGATCATCTAGTCCAACTCCTCACCCAAATGGAAGTCCAATCTCTTCTTGAAGGTCTCAAGTGATGGCGCTCCCACAACTTCCGAGGGCAAGCTGTTCCATTGGTGGATTGTTCTCACTGTCAGAAAGTTTCTTCTTATTTCCAGGTTAAATCTCCCCTGGATCAGTTTCCATCCATTTTTCCTTTGTCTGGCCTACAGGCGCTTTAGAAAATAGCTTGACCCCCTTCCTCCTCTCTGTGGCAGCCCCTCAAATATTGGAAGACTGCTATCCTGTCTCCCCTGGTCCTTCTCTTCACTAGACCAGCCATGCCCAGTTCCTGTAACCATTCTTCATATGTTTTAGTCTCCAGTCCCCTAATCATCCTGCTTGCTCTTCTCTGCACTTTTTCTAGAGTCTCAACATCTTTTTTATAGTGTGGTGACCAAAACTAGATGCAGTACTCTAGGTGTGGTCTTACTAAGGCTTTATAGAGTGGTATTAGTATCTCACTTGATCTCGATTGTATCCCTTTGTTAATGCAAATTAGGATTGCATTAGCTTTTTTGGCTGCTGCTGCTGCTGCACGCAGCTGGCTCATATTTAGCTGGTTGTCTAGGTGTGGTCTTACTAAGGCTTTATAGAGTGGTATTAGTACACCCAGGGGGTGGGGGGAAAACAGGGTCAAGGGTGACAATGAATGATGTGTCTCAGTCGGCCACACCCAGGCAGCGCCAGCATGTTTACTCCTAATAAATCTTCTTTAAGTTTTGAAAATTTGGCTAGAGACTCGTGATTTAAATGGGGGTAACTACTGGAGCACTGACAGTCCCATTTAGCCGAAATTTTGGGCTCACTTGTCATCGTAAGTCAAGGACTGCCTGTAATGTTCTCTCGCTGAGGAGCTTCCATATTTACCTTTCAAAACATCTTTAGACCCTCCCAAGTTCACCCCAAAATTATGCCACTGACATTCACCAGACAAATCATCACATTTGGAAGTTTATCTTTGTTATGATATGTACAGAATAACCCTTGAGTAACAAGGATACGCACATGGAAACATTTATGAGAGTAGTTTTGAATAATTATTCAGCCACACACAGATACACTAAATTGAGTTAAAGTTTACTTTAAGAAATAGCACAGTCCAATAAACAGTCCAGGTCATGTACGTTTTACAGTCCAAAGAATATCCAATTACAAAGTCTTCTTACCGGTTGCCTTTGTCATTTACAGTAAACAAAAATATCAAAGTATAAGCACAGCATAAATACAACAGAGAACCTTAGATAGCAACAGAATGTCAGAGAGACAGAATGTCAGAGAGAGCAAGCTATGATCTCTAGCTCCCTCTTATGGTAATTTGCAATATAATCAACCAATTGGAATATAATATAAATCAATACAGTGATTTTGTCTTAAAGCTACAAACATACATTGTTGGTTTATATATTGCCAACCCAACTAATTGGTGGACAGATTCCTAACAATCTTCGCTTTGGGGGGGTGGAATTCCCCACCCAGAAGCCCCCTGCTTTAATGTCTCCCCAAATTCTTTTTTTTCCCCTTCACTCCAGCAGACTCTTGTGAATTACTGGGGGTTGGTTATATAGGGCAGAAAAGAGGGGCGATCCTGAGATGCAAAATGTATCGAGAAGCGTTTGTGAGAAGCAGCTGTGGATTGGCTCGAGTTCCTTGGTGGGCGATTCTGCAGTTAGGAAGCTCTCTGGAGCAAAAGTAACGTTGCAACTTCCTTCTAAGATTGACGCTGGGGCGACCAAATAAATCTTTCCCGCACAGCTTTTCATGGGCAACCAACACTGTGCCAATTGTGACCGCTATCTATTACCTCAGATTTAGTTCATGGGAAAATATTCATATAGTATTGCAAAACTTTGTTTTGGTCAAACAAAAAAGTCAGAGACTTTAAGGTTCTGCTTAGCTGGCATTGTTAACCAAGCCACATTCACCTTGTGGCCTATATGACACATTCATACATCACTCTGAATATATTTTTTTTAAATTACACTATGTTAAGCCCACTACATAAATTCTCCTCAGGATGACATCTGTGGTAAACCGCAATGATATAAAAGAACAGCTGGAATATCTGGGGAGTTAATGAAATGAAACTGAATGTCCAATGAAATCTTATCAATGGCACCCTTACAACAAACTCGCATACCAATGTGTGACGCAAGCCCTAAGTTGTGGCATTTGGGTGATGCAGTCGTCATGGGTGTCCTTCCTGCGTCCGTGCTTCTCTCCTCGTGTCTTCTAGGGGGAGTTATCAATAGAAGAAAATAGTTGTGGCCCAGGGTTGAACGGTGGGGTCCTTGATGCCCTGAGGTGGGTCGTT